GTTACAAACGAGCAAAAAGAAGTTGAGGTGATGTCATTAGAATAATAACATCAGACCATATAAAATAAACCTCCCATCATTAGCAGCCCATTTAATTTGTTATTGGACCTAAATACCTTTATAATAAGCTCGATTGGTCACGGTTAGTACTCACAGTCCTCACCGGAATCGGACCGTATATATATATATATATATATATATATATATATATATATATATATATATATATATATATATATATGGAAAAGTGAATATACCCTTAAAGGTATATAAGCTTAGGTACCCAAACCCACCATAATATGTCGTTTTGTAACTTATATGCATTATAATGCTCTTAAACTTCAACACATAACTTGATTTACTTTCAAAATTTTCAAATTTTCACTTTTATCTTCCTTATATATCACATCTTTCTGCCGAACACCACCAGACAATATGTATTATAGTTGAAAATGAAAATAATATAAGAGGGAGGTAATGATGAAATTGATATATATATATATATATATATATATATATATATATATATATATATAGAGAGAGAGAGAGAGAGAGAATGAGTGAGTGACATCCCCATTTTTACGCCCAGAAAAAATCGATTTGTTTATGCTTATTAAATTAAAGTATTCTTTTTAAAAAGACTAATTATGCGGAATTTGTCGCAAAAATATGATAATAATCTTATCAAAGCATTTTCGAAGAAATGTGTTTTGTTGTTATTTTTAAAACTCGGGATGTCATAAACGATATAAAACATAATCATAAAAGGACACTTACAATGTCTCAATATACTAACAATCTTATATCTCATTGAATCTCTCATTGTGCATGTACCTTTGTATCGCTACCTGTGATACAAGGAAGCTGAGTGGGTCAAGTTGGGAAACCTAGTGAGTACATAGGGTTTTCAACCCACAGTAATATAATTTATCTCTTTTAAAAATGTGTATACAATTCACACCAAACAATTAACCCGATTACCCATTCCAGTTACTCTCTCTCTCTCTCTCTCTCTCTATCTATCTATCTATCTATCTATCTATCTATCTATCTATCTATCTATCTATCTCTCGATAGGATCCATATCAAGGGTTCTATCCTAAGGATTACTGTAAGCACTGAGTATAAAAATATTGATTAAGGAATTTCCTATCATTACGTGTCGGTAAGGTAACCACGAGAATATAGAGTAGTCGAATGAACTCACAACCTATACTCCCGGTTTGTGTGATTCATTAACACCTAAAGATTGCAAGTCTGCTAGTGTTCCACTAGACTGTCTAGAATAGTCTGTGGTCATCATCAACACTCTTCTTGATGACTGGTCTCTGTTGGGAATTGTCTCTTTCCCCATCTCTGGCATGGTCTCTCACCACTATTCTAACTCTGGTATGGTTTATTACCATTATCTTTTTGCTTATAGTATCTAACTATTATCTCATTTCTCTTATCTCTTCCTACCCGTCCTACCATGTATAGTATGAGTACGGTAAAATACATATATAATATTTTAGGAAAAATCGTTATCTCATATAACACATATATCAGGAACTCAGATAATAAGCACATATATCATTCAGGCAAATTAAATACCTGATATCTATGTGTAAGCTGGAGGTAACTATACACTCAATTGATAAAGTGACGACTCAAAATTCGGACAGCGCTTCACTTCTAGCAACTGACCTTTCCTTCAACGTAACCTAGTATCATTATCACTAAGTCTTACCCTAATATTCTACGCGACTGAAAATATTCTAGATTCCTCAACAATCCCAATGTCTAGTGATCTATAACTAATAAGAGACAACCAGATAGGATCATATCGGAGGTAGGGTCCGTTTGGTATGTAGAGTATGCTGTTTAGAAATCCCACTTCAAACACCTCACTAAATCCAGCCTAGATATCATCCCCGTAAGTAGATCAATCAGTAATATGACGTTAGAACCACTAACAAATCTTATTTATAGATTGATAACAACGACTATGAATCTAAGGTGTTGTTTGTTTTTTCTCAAAAGCTGTTTCTTGGCCACTTTTGTCTGCGCCACGCAGATTGCGCGCATACATTTAACCTTGTAGGCCATTTGTTTTTTAGAAGACCGCAGACCTATAAAGGTATGTGCACCCTCTTCTCGAGGCAGACTTGGCCCATCCACTTCTTACCTCTTCAAACATCTACACATGTAATTTCAAAAGAAAAAAGGATGCATCCCTACATTATAATTTATAAGGATCAAAAGGCCACTGCTTTTCAGTTTTATATTCAGTTATATTTTCATTATATAAAAGCCTCACCCTTGTTTTCTTTCTTCAATGAACCGATGTGGGACACATAACTTTCTTATACCATCCAGTTTTTTTCACAATTAGCATTACTTCAAATATCACATAAAATATAATTCAATTTAAAATAGTGTGTGAAGAAATACAAAAGTTTTAAAAATAATATCTAATAATTTAATAAGTTAGAGGAAGAATACATGAAAATACAACAATTAATATGTTTCCTAATTACATAAAACAAATCTTTTGAATTTTAAGTATTAATAAAAAATTTAAAAATTAAAAAAACTATAATGAGTGTTGTATACTTTTAATTTAAGTATTGTGAAACTATAAATATTGGAATTGTCTTTTAAGTTTCAAAAAACCAAGTTTATATAAACTTTATTTTTTTTACACAGCCCGCAAACTTTAAAAAAAAAACAAACAGTTTTTTTCTACAGACTGCAGACGTTTGGTCCACCTTTTCTTCTACAGATGTCTGCAAATATGATTCGCAGAATGCAGGCATTTTACCTATTAAAAAATAAACAACATCTAAATATAAATTACACTAAAATGGAAGAAAGTGTAATTTAACTTAAAGAGAATCCCTAGACAAAAGTCTAGAAATTGCACTGGCGAAACTTTGATCTGATAGTTACTAGAGGTTGGGCTCCTAGGGACCTCAGAACTTGCCAAATTACCCTAAACTCTATGAGGAATTCGGACCAAAGAAGTAAAATTTGAGAGAGAGTTTTAGAGGAGATGGGGGGAATGGAAGGAGCACAAATAAGCTATTTATAGGCACATTTAGGGTGCACGACATGCAAAAGGGGTGCACGTCATGCATTTTAAGGCTACGTCTCCCCAGCCACTTTGTGTCATGTGTCAGGCTCTACGTGATCCATGTTTTCACCTTCAAGAAGCACGCGACGCGCACCTGACATGCACTAAGCGGGGCGCAAATGGCAAATTTTGTAAAGTCCATAACTTCTTCATACAGACTCCGTTTTCAACGTTCTTAACTCCGGAAAGCTCTCGACGAGATCTACAACTTTTTGTTAGACTCCATCAGCTAATTCTGACTTTATTTTTCGTCCCTATCCTCTCTAATAAGTGAAAGTTTTTTTTGTCACTTGTCACACTCTCATTCAATTTGTCAAATGTAATTTTGTGGTTATTTTGAATTAATTTTTTTTCCACTTGTCATTTTATGAGTTTTTCTATTTTATTAAATTCCACATAGTATTTTAATTTAATAATTGCAATAAATGGAGTAATAAATGAATCTTAATTTCACTAATAAACTTACCTTTTACTTTCAAAATTCTCAAAATTAAAGTTCATTAGTTTCTTTTCTTTATTTAAATTACTTATTTAAATTTAAAAAATAAAAAACATTTCCATTATAATAAATCATTATTTTTCTTATTTCCTTATAAATTTAAAATTCTCAAATATTTTGATCTTTATTTTTAACTTTTTTTTAAAAAAATTAACCCTTGTAATACATGAGTCTCACAACTAGTTTTTATAAGATTTAATGATTTTGCAAAAATCACGACTACCTCGTACAGACTCCGATTTTGGTGTTTCTTTTACCAAATTTTGTATATTAAAGAGTAGTATAACTTTCATTTTGGTGATTTTTACCTAAAACTCAATCATTCTTTTCGTACCTTTTGACGTCACATATTCCTTGAATGCGGCTGACTTTTATATATTTATAAAAATCATATCTAATTCACATGGAGTCGGATTTCTCGGAAATTTTTATATTCGGGATCGGGACGACGTGTACTTATATATATATATATATATATATATATATATATATATATATATATGTATTCGGTAAGAATTTTTTTTTATAGGAAGGTAAGAAACAAAATTGGCAAATTTTTTTGGCTAACAAAATAAATGAATCATTAAATGAATCAAAAAATAGCATGATTCAAGAGAAAAAATTACCGAAAAAACATCTCGATAATTCATTTTTACGATAATTTTGTTAATATTCACTAAAATTGTCTTAAAAGTAAAAATTTTCTTGATTTACTTAAAAATGAATCATGAAGGTATTTTTTTGGGAATTTTTTCTTGTAAATTATCTAATGATTCATTTTGTTTGTTCGTTAAAAAATATGTATATAAAAAATTTCTTATCTTCCTACCAAAATTTATATATATATATATATATATATATATATATATATATATATATATATTTATATATATATATATATATAGAGAGAGAGAGAGAGAGAGAGAGAGAGAGAGAGGAGGAGGAGGAGGAGGAGGGTTTAACTGAAAAATAAAAAAAGATTGAGAACCTAAAATGTGGTTAGATTAATTAATTTCATATTTAATTTGATAAATGAATTAGGAAATTACCAATTAAAATTAAAAAAATTAAAAGTGGTATTTTAGAATACCATTAATCTTCTCTCTCTTCTTCCTCTCTACCAAGCTCGAACGCTTGACATATAGGTAAGCAAACCAATATGCTATTGCCAAGGAACGGGAGGTGAAGGTCTCTCACTCTGTCTTCCTTTTAATGTAAACCATTTTAACGTTTTATTTTATAATTTTATTCCTTCAAATTTCAAATTTTATATTTTTTTTTCTTATAATTTTTACATGCAAAAAATTTGATTTGCAGAGTTTAAAATTTGAAAATATTCTATACTTTGATATATAAATGTTATTAAACGAGAATCAAACAAAAATACGACTGTTTTAAAAGTTCATACCAAAGAGGGCTACACAAGTAACACCGTGTTTGTTCAATCTAATATTATATAATATATAACTGAAGCTACAATTATAACATTAATAAACTAGAGATGTTATTTGGCAAGCCCTTTGATAATTCATATAAGTTGTTCATGGGTTTCCTCTCCAACTACAAAGCGGTTTTCAGAGACACTGAGGCCTGAAGAATGAAGCTGCTTTCTTTTCTTCACAAGATGTAATGCTGCTTTCCTATCCTCCTTTGCCTCTACAGAATCAGGCTGCACACATTGGTTGGATTCATTTAATACACGTTAAAATAAAAAACTCATGAGAAGGGCATTCACGTCTTTTGCATAGAAGGATGGATGTACCTTAATAGCTAATGCTGTGTCAAAGCTTTCTATGGCACTATCAGGCTCCCCAAAGTTCAGTTGTGCTCTTCCAAGGGTGACCCATGCCTGCAGAAACAGAGAGAATGTTAATTACAAGGGTTTGGAAAAAGGGTAGTTTAGTCATTTATACAAATGAGGGAGGACTGGAATTGAATTCCATGAGTTCTTGGAAGGAAAGTTGAATTCCGTCACACATGCTTTTTGTGAATTCCAATGGAATTCAATTCCGTAGTCATTTTCAACCAAAAGGCGGAATGGAATTGAATTCCAATTTTGGGTAAAATAAAAAAGTCACAAACCTCAGCCCATGAAGGCTCCAATTGGGTGGCACCTACATAATTAAGTATTAAGTACAAATCAATACTATGCATTCTATAATACTTTTGAAGTTTGCACAATAAGAAATTAGAGTAGATGATGTCATATCTGTAAAAATCTTGGACGATGAACAATGTGAAATAACAGGTCAATATGCCTATTTAACCCAAAAAGATTATGGTCACAAACAGTCTACATGTTATTTACTGTGTATCCATTATGAAAAAAAAGATTATGAAATCAAAATACAAATAAGTAACAGATTACAGATACTCACGGGTTGCTGCCATTAGAGACTTCCATGTTTCTCCGATTTCAAGTAAAACTTGAGCCTTTTGCTCGTGTAAAGTGGCTCTCTCAGGCATCAAAGTGATAGCAGCTTCCCATTTTCCAAGTGCTTCACGGTATTTTCCCACCTTCAATATGTGAAATAAGAACAGATTAAGAAGATATACAACATAAAGAGGAAGTAAAGATTCAATCGCAAAACCATAAGTGATTAACTGGACAGCCGCACCATAGTTCCAGCAATAATAGATAGTCAAATCAGAAGTTGTTCGGATTACTGCTATTCGATCTATAGAATTTAGGTCTATTACAAATTTCTAATTCCATGAATTGGATTTAAAATTCGGAGAAAAAATAGTATGAATTTGCACAAACAGTTCCTTAATTCCAAACCCTCCAATTCCATGACGCAAACACCATCATAGATCAAATGAACAAAACCTAGGGTTTACTAAAAAGATCAAAGTTACCTCCGCAAGCTTGTTCCCTTGTGCTTGAAAGGATTCGGCAAGTTGGATCGTCTCGTCAACATTCGAACCCGGTGTAGACGTCCCGACACTACCATCCTCTCCAGCTTTACATCTATCTTGGCTGGTGTCGTCGGCGGCGAACGTAGCGACTGTATCTTCTTCCTGATCAAATGGGAGGTCAGAGATGGTTGCGATTGGGCGCTTATTGTTCTTGTTCTTGTTCTTGGTTTGGTTCTTCCATGTCAATTTCATCATTTTCAGCTCTTTCTTTCGTCCCAAGTGTGGCTCTTTTTGTTATTCCACAAGTCGGTTACCATCTTAACAAATGATTCAATGCTATAATTAATTTCCTTTTTCTTTATATATATTTATTATGTCATTTTGATTTTGATTTGATTTTTTAAGCAATTAAAAAGAAGGTTGATTATCTCTTTATGTCATACCATTTTATATTTTTTTAATATAAAAAATAGAAAATATATCTATTGTTTGGTAGGGCAAAGTCACATGAAAAATATATATATATATCTACATACTTTTTTTAGGCAATGAAAGATCGCCTTGAAACACTTGTCTAAGAACATCAATGGAGCCGAAAAGTAATTATGCTGTTATTTACAAAAGCAGCCCAACTCAATAAACACAATTCGATTGCTGTTCAAAAAAAAAAAATAATAACAAATAAATAAATAAATAAAATAATGACAACTGGATCAGTAAGACATATTTCGAGCAAAAATTAAATTTTAATTTTCTAACGGTAAATAATTCTCAGTATAATTATTTTGTTGTGGTTATATATATCCATGCATGTTTTCTAGCGAACTGTTTCAACAATATATAGTGTTAAACAACGCATAAGAGGATTAATTAAGAAACATAAGGCTAATTTAGAAGTACAACAGATATTTATATAATATATATAGCTGCATATTGCACATAAATATTGATACACAAAAACATTGGTTTGGGGTCGATTACAAACAAAGAATTAAGGAACCTAATTGAACGCATACTTAACATACATATATTAACCACCACCATAGAAACTTCTGCAGCTTCAATTTTGGGATGACCTGTAATTATAAAACAAAAAACATAAACATGAAAAATAGATCATAGAAAGTTTCTGCAGCAAACAAAGTTGTGCAACTTGTTTAATTATGTTCATGCATCGCCTACAGTCAAGAACCATGATTCCCGGGATTTATCTTATTCTTGTTCTTGATATGTTTTGTAGCTGATGCAATCACTTTTACGGTCTTCTCAGCCATCATAGTTGAAACATGCTTCCTGTTTGCTGGCATCACAGTGGCCTTTGATGTCTCTCCACCACTCATGTTTGACGACCCATAGTTCTGCTGGTTATCACCCATCAGATCTTCTATTGCTTGATACGTTTCCTGCCTCTAAATATATACTTGTAATGATTCAAAGTTTGTGATGAGGAATATTAAGAGTACTAATCAGGTCTATTATATATAGTGTTCAAGGAGGTTAATTCCCACAACCCTCATTTCCGTGTGTGTGTCTGCATGGCAATGTGTGGGAACTTAATTAGGAATATACTCGAAATTTATTTGTTGAGTGAGGTGTGGCTTGGTGTGTGTAAGTTGGTGTGTGTAAGTGTGTGATACATTATAGTAATAGTATTTTCTTTGAAGATGAACTGGAGTTTTGAGCAGATTTCCAAGATTTCATTATTATTATTATTATGATTATGATTATTATTATTAGTATCCTTTTTATTGAAATTTTGGTAAATCTTCTTCGTTATTTTCCAAGACTTCTATTACGACAAATTTATAAAACAAAAGTTCTAAGCAAATACTTTGCAAAATATCAGACAATGTAGTAGGTATTCTCCACAATTTAATATATTTCAAATACATGCTGCAAGGGGCCCAACAAAAAAAAATGTGGAATACGCATATAGAGTTGCATTGTGGCACCGATGTCCACTTCTACTCCATTCACGCCGGTTGCTATTTTGAAACTATGGTGTGTTTCTTTGAGTCACTGATGGGTGTAAAAAAGTATTGGGATCCTTTAAATATTGTGTGATAAGGTAAATAAATGTTTATCATAATTTAAGATATAAGTACAACTACAATATAATTATGAGACAAAGGTCAGAAATCACCATCCAATCAGTTAAAGTATGTGTTTTCTTGAAGGGTTTTGAAAGGATAAAACAGTTCGTTTTGCATGAATTCCCACTTCTCCACCCGAATGAGCGAAGGAGGAATACATCCTTAAGAGGAAGTAGCACAAGGGATCTCACCCTGAATGACCGAAGTAGATGAGGTGAATTCATGAAAGTCTTCGACTCAAACCAAAAAATTTCGAATTCAATAAACTCCGATTTGAAGACTACGCCAATTTTGCCAATTAACAAAAATGGTATGTTCAATTTTGTCGCAGCTTCAGTCCAAAATCCGTCACAAATAATATTTACTGACAAACTTCAATGATTTAAAGGTGTCGGAAGTATAGTTTTCTAGTAGCGTCGGTCAATATTATGGGTATTTGAGGGGTACGGTTGGGCCTAAGAGAGTTTAAGTGGGCTGATCCGTAACAAATATAAAATATCTATTTAAATTGCATTACACAATAAAAATATAGCAAAATATATTTATTGTTTAGTACAAACCGGTAAGTCACATGAAAAATATATATACATGCTCCGTTAGATAATATATGATTGCCTTGTTGTACCATGTTTTTATTTTCAAAGCAGTTCAAATTTTAGTTGTTAATTTTCTTAAAAGGTAATTCTCACTGTAAATTAATTATACATGCATGCATGCTTTCTAGTGAACTGTTTCAACATTACATAGTGTTAAACAACGGATATGTGGATGAGAAAATATAAAGCTAATTCAAATGTAAAATAGATTGATATTTTTATATCATATTTAATTACATGTATACACAAATATTGGTACAATCATACAAAACCATAGATTTGCAGTTGGTTACAAACAAAAAAGCTGGAATCAAATCGAACACACACTTAACACACATACGAAAAATAGTTAAAAGAAACTTCTGCAGCTAATTAATAGTGCAACTTCTTTATTATCATGTATCATCTACCATCAAGAACCATGATCACCGGGATTTATCTTATTCTTGTTCTTGATACAACTTTTTGCAGTCGACGCAATCACCTTAACCATCATAGTTGACACATGCTTCTTCTTTGCTGGGATCACAGTGGCCTTTGATGTCTGTCCACCACTCATGTTTGACCCATACTTCTGTTGCTGGTTATCACCCATTAGATTCTCCTATTGTTTGATATGTTTTTTCAGCCTCTGTACTTGTAATGATTCAAAGTTTGTGATGAGAAATAAGAGTACTAATCAGGTCTATTATATAGTGTTCCAGGAGGTTCCGAAAACCCTTATTTCCGAGTGTGTGCCTGCATCGCAATGTGTGGGAACTTAATTAGAAATATACTTGAAATTTATTTGTTGTGGTGTGGCTTGGTGTGTTTAAGTTTGTGATACATCATAATAATAGTATTTTGTTTGAAGATGAGCTAGAGTTTTGAGCAGATTACGGATATTTCATTAGATCGACTTATTATTATTATTATTAATATATATATATATATATATATATATATATATATATATATATATATATATATATATATATATATATATATTAAAAAGAGACGGAATAGTGAACATCCTGATTTTTTGGCAAAACTGGTCCTTTTATATTAATTTTGTTATATTATGCATCTCTTGTTTTATGGGCAATTTATGCCATTTTTTCCATTCTTTTGTGGATACGTGTTCCTCACATACTCTCTTCACCGCTTTTCCGTCCAATCACTCTTCGATTGTTGTTATTGTATTCCACTTTTTATGCCACCGCTTAGTTTAACCCTCCATTGATCTATATTCGTCTCCTACCTTCCAGTTCCTTCCACCGCTTCCATTTTCGTCTCCAAAACTGAGTCGCCCTTACAGTTTCTCACCGTCTCCACAACGCCACCGTTCCATCGCTACCTACTCCTTTAATACACCGACTGACTACTTGCTTCGTTCTTTAAAGAACCCAAACGCCTTGCTTCGTTCTTTATTACACCACCAGTTCCTTCCACCGCTTCCATTCTTATGATTCAATTTTGTTCCTCCCGCTTACTATCCCTACTGACCCTCGATTATACCGATTTTGTTCCTCCTTCATCAAAGCACTTCCCTATTCCACCTTTTAAAACCATCGATTGAGGATGCCGAAATAGGAGACGACGATCGACACGCGCACACATCCGCATTGTTTTCTCCAGACGTTAGCTCATATTTCGTTGCTTCTGCTCCATCTTCGGCCTTCTCAGTTTCTGAATTGATTAGAGGTTGTCGTCTGGTGAAGATCCATAAACCACCAACAGTGGAACATTTTTTGAGGCGAGGTGGTCTCCGTTGACTTTAGGTTTGTATACTTTTCCCTAATCGTACGAGAGATTGAAAACTTGGCTCTAATCGTTTTTTCCAGACGTTCACCACATGTAATTTTGCCTACATTTTCTATTTGCCTTGTGAATTGTAGTTTAATCACATAGATAGGAAACTTTGATTTGGTGAGTTCTTTTACCAATCTGTAATTCTTTCAACAATTGTTTTTGGTAGATGGGAAGATGCAAATCTTATGTATCGAAAAGGGTTGAAGAAGGAGAAGAATCGACATTGAGACTTTAGTGGTGGACGCAATGAATTGAAGACAGAAACAAACAAGTATTTTTCCATCTAAGTCAAATTTTTATGCCATAAAATTGGTGATTTGAATTTTGGGATTAATAGGTTCAAATGTTTACATATTTTCAGAGCTTACACATGTCGGATGAATATAATTTGGATTTCTGTGATGGACTTATTTCTGTTTGTGAAATTCCTTTGCTTTTAGAGACTTGTACAAGTGATCAATGTTCCATTTATAGGATCATATTTCTAGATTGAATGATGAAAACACTTCCTTGAAGAAAAACCTCGATGCATCTAGAAGCGAGGGTTTGAAGTCTTCTTTGTTTTCTTTTCTTTCTCCCAACCATTAAACTCTTTTATTTACTTTTTTCAACATTCTTACTTTAAGGATTAATTTCTCATTCATATAAATCCATTTTGGACGTATTAAAAAAAATGGGGAAAACCCATTTTTATAAATTGGTTAACACCAATTTTCTAACAATCCCCCACATGAATGAAAAATTGATCAAGCATTTTCAAGCTACCTAGATAAAATCCAACATGTGAATCATGCATAGGATGGGTAGGTGTTACCCTTTGAACCTTCCCTTAAGATACATATTTATTTTACTAGCGGACCAATAGACTTGATGCTCTTGAACTATTCTGCCATTTGTGTAAATAATCAATATGTGTCTCACATGATTCTCCCTGACCTAGTTAGGTTCTCATTGATGTGTCGTTATGGTCATGGACACTTGCTTGGTTCTGTAAGAGCTCTTAGGAATGTGCCCATACAATTCCTTTTGAAGCGACCCCACTTCTCTCTCACATAGGTGATTCTATAATAATCATTAAAAGCTAATTCGTGATGATTTCTAATTTATCATCCATGACTATAAGCTTAACATGCATCACTGTTTGTTTTAGGAATGGGTTGGGGTTAACCCCCACAGTGATTCACAAATGTTATATGCAAGTAGGCTGTCCCATTGAACCTAGATCTTGGGATCTCCAGTCAACTAGGTTGGGTTTTCTTTCGCAATAACTTATTAATCTATGGGTTTTTGTACCATTCCTCATAACGACCTCTCATTCCAAGCATTTCGTAGCGGATCTGCAATCTAATTTTGACTTTATGTAGTTATTCATCTTGAGAGTCACTGTTGAATGGTGTTATGTATTTGACAAATATGTCTAGACTTATCATTATTTACATTATCATGTACATATATAGGAGTTATTGGCTCATCATGGGACTTCTCCTAAGAACTTACAAAGCCCTTTAGTTTATTGTCCAAATGATGTGGTATTATTTACTGAAATACCCTTTTGGCCGGATTGTGCTCCAGGAAGAGTGAAGCCCAAGTTTTACTATTTTATTTGTTTTAGTCTTTATCCTATTTTATGAAAGTCTTTTAGTCAAATTAGGATTCTGTTAGGATTAGTATGGATAGCCTTTTAAATACATTGTCAATTGCGTGAACATAACATTTTTTTTTATTATTACCTCTTTATTTGATTTTTGTTCTTGATTAAATCAAAGAAAGAGTCGAGATACGTTTTTCTCATATTTTGTTTCGTCAGGCACACGATAGTGCCCCTGGGTTTTCAAGAGATTGACAATTTCGCTACTAATTGTCTACCTGTAGCTATTTTTGGCTACATCAGGTGGTATAAGAGCCTTTTCCAATGGCGGGAGAAAAGAACGAACCTGATAGGATTGAGCAGATGGAACAAACTCTTCAAGGATTCCAACGTACCCTTCAACAGATCACCGAAACCTTAACTACTCTTGCGACCCAGGTTCGTGACCCCCAAGTCCCACCGGTTGTACAAGTCGACGATAGAGTTCTCGCTCGCAGAAATCAACCTCCAAATCAGCGATTCCAACCAAGAAATCAAGCAAGGGATCAACTCAGGCAGCAGGAACAGGGTCGTTTGGGTGAGGATTCCGACATTGATGAAGATAGTGGAGAGGAAGAAGCAAGAGTAGGGAGATTTGGATGCGTAGAGACAACCGAGATTTCGATTACAAGCAAAGAGCCAAGGATGTCCCATCATTCACGGGCTCAATGAACGTTGAGGACTTCTTGGATTGGAAGAGTGAACTCGAAATTTTCTTTGAATTCTACGAGATACCTCCAGAGAAACGAGTCACTTTAGTAGCTTACAAGCTCAAAGGCGGGGCTCAAGCTTGGTGGAAGAATCTTCAGCTCACCCGCGAACGTCAAGGTAAACTTCCTATCACTAACTGGGATCGTATGGAACGAGAATTGTGTAGGAGATTCCTACCCCCTAATCATGATCAAATATCGTTTAACCTCTTCCAAAATTGCTCACAAGGAGATAGAACAGTAGAAGTCTACACAGCTGAGTTCCATAGGCTTTCTTCACGAAACGACTTGTCAGAGACTAAATCCCAACAAGTCACACGTTATATTAATGGACTTAAGCCCACCATCCAAGATAAAATTTTGTTAGTTCCTGTTTATACTTTAGATGATGCTTTCAACCTGGAAATTAGAGCTGAAAATCAGCTCACTAAGACCAATCGTGCTTGGAATTCGAATCGGAATCGCCTCACTACCGGTCCACCTATTTTCATTTCTCAGCCCATAAAATCCCCGGTGACCGTTACCAAGCTGACACCCACGGAGTGTGGGAAGAGCGTGGCGTCTTCATCAAATACAGCCACGAAATCAGCCAATCTTATGCTCGCCCTGTTAATGGCAAGTGTTATAAATGCGGGATTCACGGGCATAGAGCTAGTGATTGTAAGGATGCTACAGGTAAGGTTGGTCTAACGACAAGGGAGGACGAAGAAGAAGAAGTAGATGGTAATGATGACTATTCCTATGAAGAAGAACAAGATGAAAAGTTGTGTTTTCCAGCAGAGGAACCTACTTACGAAGATTCTTCAGCAAGAACATGTGTTGTAAGGCGCATTATGCTTTCATCTAAGCTACCTGTAAACACATCTCAACGACATAATTTATTTAGAACATGTTGTATTGTTCATCAAAAGGTTTTCGATGTGATTGTTGTCAGTGGAAGTACTGAGAACATTGTGTCTAGAGAGATCGTGCAGCAACTGAATTTAAAACCAGAAAAGCACCCTACTCCATACAAGATAGGATGGATTAAATATGTTGGCGACATTTGTGTCACTTAGCGCTGCCGAATTCTGTTTTCTATTGGCAAGTAAAAAAGATGAGGTAATTTTTGATATAGTTGACATGGATGCTTGTCATATTTTGTTAGGCAGGCCCTGGGAGTTTGATGTCAACGCCACACATAAGGGGAAGGACAACACCTACTCATTTAAAGTTGATGGGGTTAAAATGGTGTTAGTTCCTTTAACTGAATCTAATAAACCGAAAATCACTCAAACTGGACAAGCTAGAAAGAATTTAGTAGTTATGGCACATCGAGAATTTGAGGAAGAAATCAAAGGGGAACAAGTGATTTTTGCCATCGTCGCGATTGGATCGATACAAGAAGGTGTTTGTAGTAAAATTCCTGAAAAATTAGTTCCTCTTCTGGAAGAATTCCAATCTTTGATCCCCGAGGAGCTACCTGCG